GTCCAGGTGCTCGCCAGAGGTAGCCTGACTGCCATTAGGTACCGAGATGAGATCCTCAGACCCCTTGTGAGACCATATACTAGTGCGGTTGGCCCTGGGTCCCTCCTAATGCAAGACAATGCTAGACCTCATGTGACTGGAGTGTGTCAGCAGTTTCTGCAAGACGAAGGCATTGATGCTATGGACTGGCCTGCCCGTTCCCCAGACCTGAATCCAATTGAGCTCATCTGGGACATCAGGTCTCGCTCCATCCACCAACATCACATTGCACTACAGACTGTCCAGGAGCTGGTAGATGCTTTAGTCCTGGTCTGGGGAGAGATCCCTCAGGAGACCATCCGCCACCTCATCAGGAGCATGCACAGGCGTTGTAGAGAGGTCATATAGGCACGTGGAGGCCACACACACTACTGAGCCTCATTTTGACTAGTTTTAAGGACATTCACATCAAAGTTTGATCAGCCTGCAGTGTGTTTTTCCACTTTAATTTTGAGTGTGACTCCAAATCCAGACCTCGATGGGTTGAAAAATTTGATTTCCATTTTTTAATTTTTGTGTGATTTTGTTGTCAGCAACTATGTAAAGAACAAAGTATTTCAGAATAATATTTAATTCATTCAGATCTAGGATGTGTTATTTTTGTGTTCCCTTTATTTTTTTGAGTAGTGTATATATATATATTTATATATATATATATTATATATTAATATCAAAGTACAATGATATTGATTAAATATATAATTATAATTATATATATACATATTTATATATAATATAAAATAAATATATATGTAAATATGTTAAAAAAAATTTTAAATAATAAAAAATAAAAAAATAAAAAAATATAAATCTGTAATTTTGATCTAACTGTATTTAAAAATGTATATATATATATATATATATGTATATATATTTATTTATATATATAGATATCGAAATACACGTAGAACAAAATAATATCTATATCTGTATACAAAAGTATATATGTATAAATCACTATATATATATGACAAGTATATTTAGTAGCCAGGTGGCTACTAAAAATGACTGGACATACCCCATTTGCAATACCTTGGGTTGTCTACTTTTGCAAATGGTATGCCATCATGGGGGTAATTCTCATTCCTGGGCTACCATACGGTCTCAAAGGCAACGTAACCAATCTGGCGAATTTCAATGTAAAAAAACTGAAAAATGTAACATGCTATATTTGACCCTATAACTTCCCAAAACACCATAAAACCTGTTTTACACGTGAGACATCGCTGAATACACATATGTGTATTTTATTGCCGTAAAAGCAAACAGTATTATGACGTTCACAGTTAGAATGTCACATAGAACTAATTTGTTTTTCTTATTATTTTCTCTAATTTTTTCATATTTTATTCATATTAAATTATGTTTCATACCTAAATATTTGATGTTAAATGAAAGCCCTGTTCCCCCTGAATAAAATGATATATAATAAGTGTGGGTGCGCATAATATGAAAGAGGTGAATTACTCCTGAACAGACATATAGCGCAAATTCAAGTTTTTGTTTACGTTTTGTTTTGATCACAACGTATACATTTGGCTTAATCCTCAAGGGGTTAAGAATAAAATTAGACTTGGTTCAATTTTTTCATTATCCAGCTTGAATAGGCTTTGATTGCCCATTTATTCCTTTTGGCTAAAGTAATCAGCATCAGGAGTGATAGCATAAATACATAGATAAATAAACAGTTAAAGGGACACTATATAGTCACCAGAACAATTACAGCTTATTGTATTTGTTCTGGTGAGTATAATCATTCCCTTCAGGCATTTTGCAGTAAACAATGCTTTCAGAGAAAATGCAGTGTTTATATTACAGCCTAGGAATACCTCCACTGGCCACTCCTCATATGGCTGTTAGAGGTGCTTCCTGGGGCAGTACTGCACAATGTGTAATGTGCAGCATTGACATTCAGTGTCTCCCCCCTATTGCATCGAGACACTGAACTTTTCCTTTTCTTGTTTCAATGCATTTCTAGAGATGCTAATTGGCCAGGGCTGTTTTTGGCTTATGTTAGCTCTGCCCCAGATCTGCCTCTTTGACAAGCTTAGTCAATCCAATGCTTTCCTATATGAAAGCATTGTGATTGGCTCAGAACACCACTCCTGATTATGTCAGCCAAGCAGGCAGACGAGTGGCAGAGCCAGCAGCAGCAGACTGGAATAAAAGTAAGATTTTTGCTATATTTAAGGGGAACAAGGGAGAGGGCAGGGGAGGCTAGATGGTGGTTTGTAACATTATAGAGTCAGGAACACATGCTAGTGTTTCTGACCCTATAGTGTTCCTTTAAATACAATTTTTTTTTTTAATTCTTTATTTTTTCAGTGCATAAGAGTGATACAAGCAGGTCTGAGGTGCCCCGAGAGCAGTCCTCATGCAGTCCCTCGCTTAACATGCGGGGCATAATAATAACAGGCACAATTTTATATTTTATGCAGGCTTGGTTCAATAGTTAGTTACTTAAGCTATTCATTCGAGTCTGATTCCTCAAAACAAAAAAGAATATAAGTTAAAAACGATGACTACATGTTTCTCTAAAAGAGTTATTTATATCTTACAGTGTCCATGTGGTCTGTACTATGTGGGGAGGACAAAACGTGCCCTACATGTACGCATTAATGAACATGTGAGAAATATCAGAAAAGGTTACGATAAACATAATGTGTCCTTGCACTTTAAAACATTACATAATAGTGACCCTACCCTTTTAAAATTTTTTGCTATTCAAAAAGTAGAGATGAATTGGAGAGGAGATAATGAGACAAAAAAATTAGGTCAAATTGAAATGAAATGGATTTTTAATCTCAATACCCTTGCTCCGTTTGGTCTGAATGTAGATTTTGAGTTATGCCATTTTTTATAACTCATTTTTCTTTTATATATATCTTTTAAACAGTTTTGATATATGAGATTATGCAGATTAGGGATATTTTATTATAATATATTCTTTATATTGTATTTTTATATTGTATTTTTTTATATTTATTACTTGAAATTAGGAACTTATTATATATGCCTTATACTTAGAAATCCGATTTTAGGAACATATTATATTTATTTTCCATTTTAATATGGGTTTAAAATAAGGATTTATATATTTGTTTTATATTTGTTTTTTATTGTTGTGCTATTAATACCCCTTTTATTCTTATGTTTGAGCTATGTAAGATGGCTTTCTTTGGACTTTTCTATTTCATATACTATGCAAAAATGAGTTCGATTGTATGAAGAACAGTGGAGCATGCTGGGAATTGTAGTATCAATTTGAAACCGGAAGTGACGTATCGGCGGTTTCAAGCCGACCCGGAAGTTGACGTCACAATGCCAGACCGGAAGTGACGTCACAGCGCCAAACCGGAAGTGACGTCATGACGCCAAACCGGAAGTGACGTCCGAAAAAGGCGCAAAAGGAAGATATATAAACAAACACTAAGGATATCCACAAACACAGACTGAGGAAGCCGAAAAGGACGGCGAAACGCGTTTCTGGATAAAGGAGAGAGAGGATTCTTTTTATTCATATGTATATTTTATTTATGTTTATTTTATGTATTAATAAATATTTTTGTTAGCTATTTTTATTCCATCTCCTCTCCATTTTTGTGGTATCCATAAGAGGGAAGTGCTATCTGGTTATTGACATCCATGCCTACAATACTTAGAGCCAGTTTAAAAGGCTCTAAATAAGGTGAGCAATTTGAGCTTATATATCCTATCTGACTGCTTTTTTACTTTGATTATACCATCTGCACCAAAGAATTCTTCTTTTCTATGTTTTATTTGGAGATATAATTTATCAACAAAAGAAAAGAAGAACGCTCCTGTCCCTAGGTTTTATTGCCTACCTTTAAAGGCAAAGAAGCTGTTGTGTTTAGAGCCTATATCCTCAGAAAAGGCTCTTTCAAATGTGAGTTTTATTCTTTCTATCTATTGGATATATTTACAAACGCATCAGACAATACTACTCTATATATCTTTTTTTGTTTATTTTCACATATATACCCCATATATACTGTGAGGGGTAAGTGTATTATAATTTAAAATACTTTTTTAGCGCTGCACTCACATCAAGCTGTGTTTGAGGTCTTTTTGCACTTTGTTCACTACTTGATATTGTTTTTTTGTATGGTTTATATTTATAGTGTCTTGTGGAGTATTCACTAGAAGTGCACATAGCAGCTATATTTTATATAATTCACACCTAATAATATTTTAAGCGCCTTTTTATCCACATCCACCTCTGTGTGTTTTTTCGAGTCTGATACCTATCTATCGGAACAGAAGCTGTCAAAAGAGATTTAACTAACGAGGTATACATTCTGGTTTGTGGCTTGCATGGGTAGCTAGACATGAAAAAGGTTATGATAGCATTATGATAACATGTCTAAACATCACATGTTGGCAACAGTATGAGTAATTCTTAGGGTATGCAGACTTAGTTACATCCCATTGTAAGGGAGCCTTTGATGGCCCTTGCATACATGTCAGCTAGCTCTCTATGATTAATTTAACTCAGTTCAGGGGGCCAACGCAAAACAATAAAACAAAGCAAAACAATAAAACAAGGCAGAGTCCACAGTAGCTGCATAGATGTGGTGGTTTGGCAGCAGGCCCATCCGCAGTAAAGCAGCAAAAGTCAGCCTACACCCATGGTTGGCGGGAGCGATGTACAGTCCGAGGGATCCCATGGAACTTTGGTGTCGTGGGTCAAGTGAGCTGGTGGGGCTCTGTCACCACCCCCCATTCCTCTGTGAGTACCTCAGGTGGGGGAAGTCTGGACTTGGCGGCAAGTCAGCCCCTTTGCTCCCCATGCAGGTCTGTAGGCTGGTGTCACTTTTTGTACTCCTGATGCAGGGGTGATGCCCTTATGGGCAACAGTAGTGGCTGTGCATCTCCATGGGCGGCCGATGCATTGAGTGGCCCTCTCAGCTCCGCTGGTCATGGGCCGAGCATATGCTCTCCTAATGTGTCGCTTTGGCTTGGTGAGCAGTGGGCCGTGAGTGGGGGGTCTCTGAGTATGTCGGGACGCAGGTAAGTGGTGTTGGATGCGTGGTCTGCGGCCCTCGGGTCTGGGCATAGCCCTCATCCTCCTCTGATGTTTCGCACCGGTCGGCGGCGTAGTTGTGACAATTGCAGCCGGTTTGTGTGCAGGTGGAGTGGTAGGTAATCGAGAGACCATTGTAGTCACCTGGGTCCGAGTTAGCGTGGCCCACAACCGTGCCCAGAAATGGTTGAATGCTGCTGCTATGCGATCTTCGCTTGCCTGTCTCGCTGGCAGAGGTTGAGTATGTGTTGGCCCAGAAGCCTGGTCGGATGATGCCATCTTGGTAGCTGGGTGTGGGATGCAGGTGGTTGTGGAGGCTTGCAGGGTCCCGTGGCCCTGTGGGATATGGACTGGGATAACCCCCGCCGGTCCATAGGGGGGGAACGTGGGCTCAGCAGTGAATTCGCCTGGTGTGGAAACGGTGGGAGAGCGGCCGTCTCTACCGCGCCGCTTTTGTGAGTAGGCCGCATTTGGGCACAGAGCGGGGTATCTGCGTTTGAGGTGTCGGTGTGATGGTCTCGGTGTCTTCCGCTCGGTAGCAGCATTCAAGGGCCCGTATTGGGTGTCAATTTTGCAGATTCTGCGTGTATTTTCTGTCGGCTCAGGAGCTGTTGCTTCTTGCGTCCGCTCGGCTCTGCGGTCAGGCCCCGCCCCCTAAATACAATTTTTAATGGACAACATCTCATAGTTTTCTCCATCTAATGGTGGTTTACCCTAATGTCACATTGTAACCATGGTTCATGCAGTTACAATATATGGTATCCCCTGTCAGCTGGTTCTCTAGAATGAAAGCGTTTATTGATTAATCTGTTGGTGTAGACATACGACTTGCCTTGAAAGCTTACCATGGTCAATCCACATAACATCTGGTAACAGCTGTAGCAATAAAGCAGTGAATAACATGTTTTATATGGATCATGTACCTAGAAAAAGTACAAGGATTTGCTTTTTTAAACTTTTTTGATAATGTTTTTAATTATGTAAGCAAAATGTATTTTGTTTTTGAGAACTTAGGTTTTATTTTTAATTGTGGACCTAGATTTAACATTTTCACATAAGCTTTTCAAATGATTTAACCCCTTAAGGACCAAACTTCTGGAATAAAAGGGAACCATGACATGTCACACATGTCATGTGTCATTAAGGGGTTAATATTATTTGATACACCTTAGATTTTTTAAAAAGCATTTTCAACAATATTAAATCAAGGCCCTGATTGGTTATCCCAATGACTCGGGTTTAATACAATAATTGATTTTCTCACTGCATTTGTAATGTTGGGAGAATTGGATAATTGCAGTATAAAGTTATATATAGGATGTGCCAAAATTCAGAGTAGAATTTGACAGGTCAGTAACTTATTTCAATTAGTTCAATTTTTTGTTGGTACATATTGTAGCTGAGTCATGGATAATTTTAGAAAGGAATAATGAGTAAAAATAGTGAAATTTCTTTAGTGTGAGATATCGGTATATAATTGAAAATGTTGTATCCCATGTAGTAAAAAATCATCCTGAAATGTGGTTTATTGGATGGGGCTACTGCCCATACAGCCAATGGACCCCCTGAGACAACTTTTCAGTGAGAGGATAATTTCAAGAAAGCCAGATTAATTGACAGCCACATTTACCTTACAGCTCCCAATTACCTCCTGTGGGGACATCTGAAGAAGCAGGTGTACGTGAACAAACCGCGGACACTTGAGCAGCTCAAGAAGAATACCCATGCAGAAATTTGAGTGCTAGCACCTCAAACCGTAACTAATGTTATGAACATTACAATCAAAAGAGGCCAACTTTGCAAAGCGATGCGATCTTCCATACCTAGTCAAAAAATCTTGATACATTAAGCATCCTTTGTATGTTAAATCATTGAAATTGGTTCATTAATAAAAATGTTAGTGACTCGTAAAACCCTACTCTGAATTTTGGCCCACTAAGGAACTAGTTGAAAGAGCATCAGCCAGGTTGAAAGTAATGAAAAAGTGTTAAAGATAGAGTTGTAACAGCTAGTTGTAACTGCAATGTCCCACGGTGTCATGTTGGGACAAAGGATATGGGTTTTCGTGGGTTCCAGGCTAAATAAAAGTCAAGCACAAACACCAAACATTCCTGCTCTAAAACTCAATAAGTAATATGAGATATTTATTGCTCATCTTCGTATTTTGTATTTCTCCATACGTGTACCATTCATATGTACCTTTCTGGTTTTTTTTTTGCACCTGTATACTCAAGCCAGTTTAGGCTTTTGTACTTATTGCTCTTTATATGGAGCCCAGAGATCACAAAGGAAACCTTTTTTTTAAAACTCATGTGCACACTTTAACTTTTTAGTGGACACAATCTACTAAATTGTGAGCACAAGATAATTATTTAGTGAACAGCTGGGATGGTGCCATTGGAGGAACAGGCTGATTCCACCACCATGTTGGCCAGGGACTGGAGCAGGCAGAGTCAACAGGGAGGGAGGTAGAAGCCCTGCTGCCTGATATAGTTATATTGTGTGCATGGTAAAATAATTAAAATATCAGATGTGGGCCACATTATCTTCCTAAGTTCAGTTTGGGTGGTAAAATCATATTTTGCAGTTGGGGCAAATAAATAATTTTTTTGCTGTGATTTCTTTTCCAACATGTTACCTTGAGTCTACCTTTCACAAAAGTTTTCCCTGCAGATGGAGTGGGGACGAAGATATTGGCTTTAGAAGAGGCTTCTCTGCAGCACTGCAGTGAGAAAATGCATCATCTCTCACTGTGCCAGTGGGCATTTTATTTCTAATTCCTCCTCATTATACTTCAGAGAAGAGGAAATGTGGTAGATGGCACTGTGTCATCCTCAGTATTTCAGAAACATGATTTGGGGGCATAGTTTCTGCAACTGGAGTAATATCTGAAAAACGGCACAGTTTATCTTTTGGAATTTCCACACTTCCACGCTACGGGTTATTGAGTGATCCCAAGTGAAACCGTACATGCTCATCAATAAGAACCTTTGAACTAAGGTGTCAGCAGACAATGAGGGTATATCCATATTCAAACCATCTTCTAAGAAAATGTCTGGGTACTCAAATCAAGTCAAAAGACAGACTTGATTCAGGAACAGGGTGAAACAATGTTTTAGTTTAACAATGTTAAATTTCTCAAATCTTAAAACATATTTATAATTAAAATACTGCAACACCTACTCTTTAGTGTGATACACATACAAGACCCAGGATCAAAAAACAGATGCACAAATCATCATCGTCACATTAAAGACAAAGAGAATTAAAATTTTTTTTAAGTATTAGCTTGACATACATAAATACAACAGGTCAATAAAATCAGACCATCAATATATCCAAAAAATAAGACAACCCAATCAAATCAAACCAAATCCGTTTTTTTTTCAGTCTAGCATAACAAATTAATGGGAAAAAACACTGTTATTTAAGCAGGCATGAAATCTACTTCCACTGAGGTGAGAATTAGGTAATGCAGGTATGATGCACAAGCATTTATAATAAAATGGGCAATAACAGTGAAATTTGATGATGTGAAACGTGACTTTAACATTTTAGATTTATATAGCAAAGGTGCCAGTATTTTCCAAGTTAATTGTGTTTGGTATAATTTCTACCTCTGCAGCTTTGGCTAAAATGTTGTCCATTACACCACTGAGTAAACTAACCCATTTACTTCCTGCTTATGTTTAACTAATGTTTTCGACAGAAACAAAATAATAGCTGCCAGCTGTATCATTTGATCATTTAAATCCTCATTGTATCATTATGAGGAGTCCAATGACAGCAAAAACTATAAACAGGAAAAACGTCAGTCGAGCCATGTGCAGGATAAAGACTCAGACAATTGGGAAAAATTCATAACTTGTGTCTAGCAAGGTCAGAATTTCCCTTGCAAATCAAACCAGTCTTTTGTTGCAGTAACTAGAATACACTGCTTTGCTGATTCATTATTTGTATTTTTTTCACTAGTCACATCTCTGAGCAAGAAATAAAACATGAGCTGCTTTAGGATGTTTGATAAAAATGTGTCACTCAAACCACGTGGGGCAAAATGGAGCATTGACCAGGGTTATGTCAATTGTATGTCAGACAAATAAGTCTGCCTAAGGGTAAACAAAAATGCCAAAAGAAGATTATTACATTCGAGGAAATGACAGCTGCTCTATTCAGAGTCACTGAGCGATTACATACACTCGTAAAAGGGTTTCCCAGACGCAGAATGTATGAACGACAAACTTTTACTAACTGATTAAGTTGTCTATCATAGGAAGTAGTCATTTCTCTAAGCACAGCATCTTTTTCCTGTTTATTTCAGAAGACAGACAACACGTACACATTCATTTACCTTTCTGCTATAATGATTCACAACAGCGATGTAACAAACTAGCCGTTATTTCATTTAAAAAAATTTTTTTTTACAATAAATGTATTCCTAAAATCAAATAGCAATAATTATATTCATTTTAATCACTTTTTTTATTTAAAAAAAAATGCTAAACTTTTAAATAAGATCAAAGATGTAAAACCTTGCAATAGAGCAGGGCTTGAACAATTTCTATAGACTCTAGGACTAAAAAGCACACATAAAAATGGCCTGTCTGTCTGTCCGTCCGTCCGTCCGTCCGTTGGTCCATCCATATATATGTGTAAATATGTTTGCTAATGTGTGTGCATGCATGTGCTCATATGTGTATGGTTTTAGTAGCATGTGAATGTGTGTAGTCAACTCTAGACTATGCCGAAGAACTGAGTGACAAGGAGAGCAGAAGAGATCTCACACATGCTATCCTTCTACTCTTAAAGCATCACAGAGCATGTTGGTAGCCCTATTTAGAGAGCATAGGATTATATTCATTCAAATGCCGGCACACGGCAAACGCCGGTATACTGCAAACGCTGGCATACTGCAATGAAACCAGAATTTTGCTCTGCTTGACAAACTAACCCCAAGACAGCAGACAGAGGGCAGACAAAGTGTGGGAGAACCTCTGGTAAGAGAGTCTGGCCAGCCATGACCAAGTAGAACCGGACATGACGTCCCGGGTTTATGCAGAGCCACCATGTCCCCAGGTTGACAGGGGAGATCCTTTCATCTCCAATGCCGGCCTCATGCAGATCAGGCCCTGTTATTTGCCTTCCTGGGCTGGTGGGGAGATCACAGGCAGTTTGCCGCTGCAAAGTGAGGTAGGGAGCTGGTACTGGAAGGAAACACGCTCCACCCACGAGCAGGCAGGTTGGAGCGTTGCTGCGTGTTAACATGGCAATGCTCCGAAACAACCCTGCACTCACTGGAGGAGAGAGTAGGCAGCCATAGGAGCTGCAGGCTGAACAGT